CGGCTGGCCGGCTCCCACCGTAGGGCACGGCGTAAAAGGGAACCTGAACGAGTCCCCCTTGAAGCGGCTGCGTTCCAGCCTCCGCTGCCTGCTGGGGGAAATTAGGCTCCAGCAGCAGCCCCGAGAACAGCTACATGTTTGGGCTTTTTCCCCTCTAAAGGTTTTGAGAAGCCTGCTGGATCAGAAGGGAGGACTCCAGTTCGGGACAAAAAGGGAGACGGGAACGTGCTGGAGCAAGAAGTCCCTCCGTACAGCATTCGGGGTGGTGAGTAGGGCGGCAGGCGACTGGTTCACACCTACGCTGAACTTCAGTTTCCTTTCATAAGGTGATGCAGGCCATTAGTAAGAGTTTTTAGTGTCAGATCTGATAGATTAGTAGATACGCAAGACAGAGGCGTTCTGGATTACAGCCTGGGAGCCGAAAGGCCGTGGCTACAAGGAGGGCGAAGACTTAACACCGGGTTGTGACTAGAGCCAGGTGATTTGCAGACAGGACTATTGAGGGTTAAGGAGCAACCTAGCACTAGCATCAGTGGAACTGAAGGTTTTTAAGCCGTGCCTTCAGACAAGCTGCGAGGGGACGAGTCTCGGAAGAAGCTTCCGTAGCTTGGCGACCTTCCCGCCGCAGCTTGAGGACTGATCCAATACCATTGCAATAGCAGATGGAGCTTGTGGCCCACAGGGCCCTTGCCAAGCTGGTGCTTAGGGACCAAGAGCTGACAAAGGGTACAAGATGCTTTTCTCTGACACTCTTCCAGTTTCTGACATCTTTCAGCCAAGGATTTGCTACACCTGTGGTTTACGTATGTAATAACCCCCAACTGTTCTCTTCCAGGTGCGTGCTCGGTCTCCAGTTGAATCTGTGCACGTTCCCTGAATCCACACCACCTTTTAGCAAAAGTCCCGCAGGTCTGCCACCCTGCCCCTGAGAACATGGACTTCAGCTGCCCGAACGGAGACTTTGGCTTCACCTTTCTAAGGCTTAGGCCTAAAGAAAGTTCTTTTCGTTCCCTGCCACTTCCAAGTGGTAGCACCAAGTGCTTTTAAAGACGGTGTGGCATTGCTCTGTAAGAGGATACATAAAGTCAGCCAAATTAACAACTAAGGGAGAAGAGATAGGCAGATGCCTGCTCATTGTACAGAATTTTCTGAAGTATGTAATGGTCTTTGCAGTGCTGGACTAGAGGGATGCCAGCTTTGACTCACTGTAACTTCTCCTCTAAAGGAACCAATAACAGTCATGGAAAACTAGAAGCTAGAGTTTTTTACAACAGTGAAGTGCCTGAATTATTTTTGCAAAGCCTGACTAAATTATAAACAAAAGGCCACTTGGTCAGTAAGCATCATTAGTATGGGGTTAAGTCATCATCAATGTGAAACAGAGATAAATCCTGTCCTAAAGACAGGTTTTGATGCATTTCAACTAACATTTGGATCGTTCACGCTTAATAGTAATCACAGATAAATGGAGGGCAAGGGGGCAAGCAGCAAGAGGTATTGGCAGGCACTCTTATCACTAACTTGAAAATTTGGCTATGAGGAAAAACCTAAGATGAAGCGTACTGAAATTGTCAAGCAGGACGTGAGAACCTGGGGCTCACAGAGACCAAGGTTCCTGGTCCTTTGACCAAGAAGCCTGGCCAAAAAGTAGAGGACTCTCGGGCCAAGCTCAGGGATACAGGCTGGAACAGATGTCTGTGAGAAGTATGTCAGAAATGATTGAGTGGGCAGAACTGGCACAGAGGAGCTCAGGCCTGGAGCAGCAGCAGGACCTTGGGTCTGGGCCAGAAATGCACAGCGAAGGTTGCAGAAAGCACTGGGAACCCAACTGTGTGAAAGCTGGCTTTATTCTGACCGTGATGCCACAAAACCACGCTCCACATGCCGAACCCACGGTTGCTCCTAGCGGTGCTTCCCGGTGCGATTGAACCGCCTGTACAAGTACCGGATCCTCTTGTTGAGTTTGTGGTAGTCCTCTAGAAACATCCGATCTCCCACCACCTGCTTCTTGCGGATGCACCTCTGCAGCTCGTTCCCCCGCCAGCCTCGCAGCCACTTGGGCCCCATGATGAGGTTCTTCGGGTGGATCTGGAAGCCACCTGAGAACAGGAGGGCAGAGCAGAGAGGATGAAGCCAGGCCCCGGAGGAGGCTGTTCCCAGGGCGGCCGCCGCCCTCTCGCTACCTGAGGAGCAGCTCACCCGCAGGTGGGTCCACCCTCCTTCCCCTCCTGCCCTGGGGCCGCGGCGGGGAGTCGGGGGGGCCTTACCCCGGATTCCCACGTTGGCGTAGACCCCGG